TCTCCACCAAAGCCCCAAACTCTTTGGTCATTGAACCCAAAACCCTGAAACATTAATCCCTAACCCTAAACCCTAAACCCTAAACCCTAAACCCTAAACCCTAAACCCTAAACCCTAAACCCTAAACCCTAAACCCTAAACCCTCCCACCTTTGCCTCCTTAACTCGAACCAGAACCTTCTCAACTCAACCGCTCCAAATCTCTTCAAACTCATTCATAAAGGGGTTCAGGGCTTAGGGAAGTTTAGGGTCGCGAATCTTATTGAAGGTATCCTAGACCCAGGAGTAACCTAGGAATAACAAGGGTGCCCTTTTTGGTTAGAAGGGGGTTATAAGGGAACCTATACCCTAAAATAAACCTAGCAAAAAGGGAAAAAGGGCATTTAAGGGCATACTCTGGGCCCGAGAAACCCGAAAACACTCGCGAGGAAACGAGATCCGTCGATCCTGAAACATGAAATGTCCTGCGATTCCATCTTGGCCTAGAGTTCAGTGGACACTTCTTACGTGGTTTGGGGTTTGGGGCTTAGGGTTTGGGGTTTAGTTTCAGGGTTTCAAGTGGAGAGATGCCAGCAGAAATGTCAGATGATGCATTCCTTGAGGACCATGAACCCCTAAAATTGGGACCCGATACCTTACACTACTATAATACATTCTAAAGTATATGAACCAAAACTCTAAATCCCAAATTCTAAACCCTAAACCCTAAATCCAAGAAGCCCTTTTAGGGGTTCGTTTGATCCTGGAGGTTGAAGTACAATGAGCATGTTGGACGGCTTTTGCATGGCTTTTGCCTATCCCAGGATGGCCCTTAAAACCCCTAAACCCTAAACCCTAAACCCTAAACCCTAAACCCTAAACCCTAAACCCTAAACCCTAAATCCTATTCAACCCAATAAGGGAAGCTATGAAATGTCCCAAGGGCCTTCCGAGGTTTTGTTAAGGTGCATATTTGTTGGGGTTTCAGGCCTTCGAGCCGCTACAACTTTACGGGATTACAAGGTTTAGGGTTTAGGGTTTAGGGTTTAGGGTTTAGGTGTATATATATATAGATCGATAGATAGATCGAGATATAGATAGAGAGATAGATAGATACATACCCTTTAGGAGCCTAATTCCCTCATCCCTACTAAGAACCAGCAAGTCCACGCGCAGGCCTTCGAGAAAAGGATCCGAAGCACGAGTGGGAAAACCTGCACGGCCGGGTCCCGGGGCAGTCCCTGTCGGGTAGATCAAGGGACTACAGGAGGGACCCTTATTCGGGGCTTTCATAGGCTATTTGGGGGCTATTTAGGTACACAGGGACGTTTTAAGTAGAGAGACTTGGCAACCCACACTGCGCCGGGCTTAGGGTTCTTAAGGGAGGGGGGTTCAAGGGGGGTATGTAGCCCAAGGCTCCCTTCATACTCCTTACTACTCCCGAAAAGTCCCTAAGCTTCCCTAAGATTCCCTAGGAACCTACCCCTCCATCCCTTAAGAATGCTTGGTCAAGATTCCACCCACCGAGCTCCCGTGAACCCTGAAACCCAAAGCCTACTCAAAGAATTCACGGGGAATTACAAGCCAGGTTCCCTAAGTAAGGTCATAACCGACCAGAACCCAAGTTACGCCAGCTGTAACCCCAGTTAACACCCCCTAAACCCACAACCCCAGTGAAAACCTACCCACGCCTCTCCAAGTACACCCTAAACCCTAAACCCTAAACCCTAAACCCTAAACCCTAAACCCTAAACCCTAAACCCTGAACCCTGAACCCTGAACCCTGAACCCTGCTAGTGGGCTTCTGAGGCTTCCCAAATTCATATGTACTATGTAATATGTAATATACATATATATATATAACATATTATATTTTTCGTAGTATGTATACATAGAGCTTATTTGGTACAAATGGGGGGATTTAGGGTTTAGGGTTTAGGGTTTAGGGTTTAGGGTTTAGGGTTTAGGGTTTAGGGTTTAGGGTTTAGGGATATTTAAGCTATATGGGGGTTTCCGAGGTCAGGGTACCTTATCGGGTCCTGAATATAAGGGAATCCTATAAGTTGGGGATCTATATCAGGAGTCCCTTCTTTTCGTAAACCCCCCACATAGAACTTCTTTTGTACGAAGCGCCCTGAACCTTAAACCCTAAGCCTAGGATTGGCAGAACCCTAGTTGTCCCCTAAACCCTAAACCCTAAACCCTAAGCCCTAAGCCCTAAGCCCTAAACCCGAAACCCTAAACCCTAAGCCCTGCACTGCTTAAATGGGTTTAGGGCTTTAAGGGCTTAGTGTTTAGGGTTGAGGTATTGCTGCTCAAGGGAGGTTCAGCAAAACCAAAATCCCAAAACCCAAAACACCGGAAGACCACGCAGCGTGCGTCTTCCAACTACAAGACAGAGGGGGCCTTGTCGCGGTGCTCGTACAGGACGTTTGTTGGCTGCTCTGGGTCCTCCATGTCTGCATGGGAATTGATTAGTCTTTTGCCTTCTTTGGTACTGGTACCCTACACAATATACGGTTTAGGGTTTACTGTAAGCCAGACCGCCTTCCCTCCCCGAGGCAAAACAAACCATAATCCCGACCAAACCCCTATGTGCTGTCCCCTGCAACTCTAAACCCTAAACTCTAAACCCTAAACTCCAAACCCTAAACCCTGGATGAGGCTTCCACTCCAGGACCTCACCTAGGTTGGCCAGTGCCCCTATAAGAAAGACTAGCTAACCCAAATGATGCACCTTGTTGGACTTAAACGAAAAACAAATTGTAAGAAGCCCAAAAGAAAGGCGAATGCTATGTGAATGCCACCTAAGGTCGTTCTTGGGTTTAGGGTTTAGGGTTTAGGGTCCATAGGGTTTAGGGTTTAGGGTTTAGGGCTGAAGGGCCTGGGGTGTCTTCAGGTTTTTGGCTGAGGGCGTTTGCGTCGGGCTTTCGGCTCCCGGAACCCCCGAAACCCCCAAAGCCTTAACCCCCTCAACTGCTTGGGGTAGGTAAGGGTTTAGGGCTTAGGGTTCCAGATTTCGGGTTTAGGGTTTAGGGCTTAAGGGCCCGGATGGGACAAAGGTTAAGGAAGTTATCGGGTTGGGGGTTTAGGCTTTAGGCTTGTGGGTCGGGAGCTCCAACCCGGTGTCAAGTGGTCTCCGACACCCCAGGTCAGGAATGTGACAAACCCTAAACCCTACACCCTAAACCCTAAACCCTGAACCCTAAACCCTAAACCCTGGCCCTAAACCCGAACCCCCCCCCCCCCAAGAAAAAAAAAAAAAAACCTAAACCCTAACCCTGGCCCTAAACCCATGTGACAGTAGCCTCAATCCGACTGCCCTATATCACCCCCAAGATTCCCTATCAGGGATTCTTGTCCCTGAATCACGCTTCGAAAAACCTAAACATTACGCCACTAAACCCTAAACCCCAAACCCCAAACCCCAGACGCCAAACCCCAAACCCCAAACCCCAAATCCTAAACCCCACACCCCGCTTAAAAAATGTTTGCATGCTTTCCCACTGACTGAAGCCCTCCGAAAAAATCAACTGACCTTTATCCTGGCGCCATGGGGCCATCCATAAGACGGCCCGAGCTGGTTCTTTTGGGGGAAGGTTGGCTGTAAGCTCTAAACCCTAAACCCTAAAAACCTTCGACCCGAAAAGGAGTAATCATGGTGAGGTGTACACCCCCAAAAAACCTTGAACCCTAGAAGCCCTAAATGCCCTTAAAAGCCCGAAAAAACCTAACAACCCTACGCGCTAAGCCTGAAGACCCTACACTAATACAACCTGAAAAAAACCTAAACCCTAGCTCCAAAACCTAAACTCTCACTAAAAACGCTCCCGAGTCACCTGAGGATCGGTCCTCTGTGGACGCAGCCTTCGTCGCCGATAGCGACAGGAGCTCGGTACTGAAAGTGCTGTCGTCACCTCGGGTTAGTTTAGGGTTTAGGGTTTAGGGTTTGGGGTTTAGGGTTTCGGGTTTAGGGTTTAGGATTTAGCGTTTATAGGGTTTAGGGTAGTTATATGGTCCGATAATCTGGTCCCTCACCTTCTTTAAAGGGTTCTGAGGTATGGGCCCGTGGGCTTAGTATCGTATAGAAGGGCTTAGTAGCCCAGTAGCCATACTAAAATAAGGGCACCCTTTGTGGGATTGGTTACTTTAGAAGGGAACCTTGAACCCCAAAAAACGGGAAAAGGGCACCATTGGGCTACCGAGAGGGCTAGATAGTTCGCCATTTCAAGGGCCGCAGCATCGCAGACGAACCTATGGTGCAGGGTCTGATACTTTGCTCATCCAAGCTGCCAGCCTTGGGGACGAGATGAGCTCTAAAAGGGTTTATGGTTCAGATGCCTTAATAGGAATTCTTGTGGTATAGGGTTTATGGGCCATATACCTTGATAGGAATTCTAGTAGTATAGGGTATATATGACCCCCCAATTTTAGGGTTCATGTCGTCCGAACCCTCCACTTTCGAGAAACGACAGCCCAGTCAGTGGGGATGGAGCGTGTAACACGGCGCTCCGCCCTCCACCAAAAGAGCACTGTCCTCGGTGCGGTGCACCGGCAACCGTTGCTGCGCTAACCGGGTCTTATCCCTTTTTTGCTTAAAGGGGTTTATAAGGGAACCTAAACCTACCAAAAAGGGAATTCGGGTACTACTGGGCATCCTAGCAATTAGCGCACTCAACTTCAAAAATGCAGCCACTGGCAAAATTGCCTGACATCGACTCGGAAAGCTCATGTCTTGCACACAAGGCCTCCTGAGCCGTTCTGGAACCCTAAACCCTAAACCCTAAACCCTAAACCCTAAGCCCTAAACCCTAAACCCCTCGTTCATACACGCAGCCGGCTACACAACTAAACTAGAGCAGCAGAACGTGCAGATCTGAAATGCCACATGTGGGTTCAAAAGAAGCATCAAGAAAGAAACTGCACAAACACGTTTGCCCGGTGAATCTTCGGGTGTCACGACTCGCCCGAAATGGAATTCAGGCTGTTGAAATCTGCACATTATGCAGAACTGTATCTGTTTCAGCTTTCCTTGCAGTGCTTCGCCATCTCGCTGACGACATCATCGAAGTCCTCAATCGCATAGTCCTGCAAGCAGCTTTGCACTCCCGACAACTGTTCATACGCCGGCTTCAAGCTTGACCAATCAGCTGCACTCAGCTTGTTCAGGTGTTGTCGCAACGCTGCGGACAGGAAATATGGCACGCCACCACATGAAGCCACTGTGTCATGGAAAACTTGTCCCGTGTCACTGGCGTCGCTCATGACATCAGCTACCCGCGCAAGGGCCATGATGGCATGCGCAGCTTTCAAACCACCCGCTTCCTGAATGAGCTTATCGATGTCTCCCGTCACTCGGTGGCTCTGCTCGTACTGCTGCGAAGGTCGGAGTCGATCGAGCTGGTGAAAAGCACGGAAAGCACGGCTGCCGAAACTCTGCAGCAGGCTCTGCACGTTGATGGGTGCGGCGTCCCGCTTCTCTAACTCCTCAGACACAACTTTGGTGGCGCTCAGTCTAGCATCTTTGATGAGTCGCTCCAGAATCGACGTCTTCTCCGCTTCATTCAAACGACTCAAGCCAGCCAGGGCAGTTGCCTTTGGATCAACTTTGGCCCTCTTTGCGGGCGATCCGCTCGACTCACCAACCTGCTTTGCCATGTGCAAAAGCCCTGGGATATGAACTGGGTTGTAGAAACGATTGTATCATGTCGGATTGGGATTCAGTCCATGAGATGCCACAAGTTATGTCACCAAGTCTTGGAAACCCTAAACCCTAAACCCTAAACCTTAAACCTTAAACCCTAAACCCTAACCCTAAACCCTAAACCCTCAAGAAACCCTAAACTCTAAACCCCTAAACCCTAAACCCGATGTTCATGCTCAAGTCTTAGGTAAGCTCAGCACGCCAAGGCACCCTTGAGCCCACAAGAGATGCACAGGAAAGGCCAACTTCAAGCGAAGCGCATGGCTGGAGAGCCTAAATGGTTTAGGTGCAAGGTTTAGGGTTTAGGGTTTAGGGTTTAGGGTTTAGGGTTTAGGGTTCAGGGTTCAGGGTTCAGGGTTTAGGGTTTAGGGTTTAGGGTTTAGGGTTTAGGGTTTAGGGTTTAGGGTTTAGGGTTTAGGGTTTAGGGTTTAGGGTTTAAACCTGCAGATATGAACCCTCAACAGCAGGATCCTTGTTGTCAGGACACGTGCACGAGCGAACCCCCCGAGTCGTATAAACCTTAATTACAAGCCCTGCAAACCTGAACGGGTGTAGGGTTTAGGGTTTAGGGTTTTAGGGTTTAGGGTTTGGGGTTTAGGGGTGTTTAGGTTTAGGGTTTAGGGCTAGGGTTTAGGGTTTCCAGTCCTGAAGCTGCACAGACTTCAGAGTCCGACTCTCCGATTCACAGGAGGTTGAAGAACCAAGCCCTAGAGTCCACAAGCCTCGAAATCCCCAAGGGCCTAAACCCTAAACCCTAAGCCCTAGGCCCTAAGCCCTAAGCCCTAAGCCCTAAGCCCTAAACCCTAAACCCTAAACCCTAAACCCCCCACACCCCGAACAAAACACACAGCCACTTGCCAAACCCAGTGGCAGAGCCGCTTGAGGGACTCTTCGCACTGGGCCATGAAGGTATAAGACTTGCACCTTCCAGGTTTAGGGTTTAGGCTTTAGGCTTTAGGGTTTAGGGTTTAGGGTTCTTACCGGGGGGCATGTAACGCAAGGTTCCCCGACACTCCCCACAATTCCTAAGGCTCCCTATGCTTCTCTGTACGGAACCTCCCCCCCCCGTTGAGACCCCCTCCCTCAGCAGTTCAGGACGAGGTACGACCCAAAGTGGGTTCTTCACGAGTTTACGCCGTTCAGGGCTTTAGGGCTTTAGATTCTGAGCTCCGGACGAAAAGCAATGTAGCGTAGTGACTTGTTAGGGTTTGAGGCCTTGAGGTTTTACTTGTGCCGAGTTGGGTCTTACAGAAGCCTTCACTTGGAGGTTTATGGTACATGTTAACCAATTATAGCTGTACTTAGAACTGTACTGATAACCATATTAGGGCACTTAGGGGGCTTATAAGCGTGTTATAAGTACAGCTATATTTGGCTAATAAGTACCCCTAAACCTAAACCCCAAACCCTAATTGGTTGCTGACCCTCCAAGTAGGGTTCTTGAAGCTCCGAGTGCGAACCTCGCGTGCCGCTTTTGTGGCCGTAGAGCTGACACCCGAAACCCTAAACCCGAAAAACTTTGGGTTTAGGGTTTTAGGATTTAGGGAATGCGATGTCCCGGAGTTAGGGGTAGGGGGATTTTCGGGGCGCGGCGGGTTTAGGTTCGGGGTTGGTTTGAGCTACCTGGAGGTTCATGGTACTTGTTAACCAATCATAAATGTACTACCAACTGTACTTATAACCATATTAAGGCACTTTAGGGGCTTCTTACTTGGTTACAAGTACAGCTATTATTGGTTCATAAGTACCATGAACCTCCACGCAAGGGTACCCGTTTTGAATCAGGGTGTAGGGTTCCCTAAACCCTAAACTCTAAACCCTAAACCCTAAACCCTAATCTCCCAAACCCCAAAAACCAACAAGCCTCGCAATCACCGTGATGGCCAGTTGCTGGAGCTGCGTGTCGGGCTCGAGGAGGAGCCAGTGGACACAGCCATGCAAACAAAGCCTGGGAGGACTCTGGGTTTAAGGTTTAGGATTTAGGGTTTAGGGTCCAGGGTTTAGGGCTTCAGAGTTTTAGGGTTGCAAGGCGAGCAAGGGTAGCCACAGTTTAGGGTCGGTGTAGCAAGGGTGTTGAAGGTCCAATCTGAGAGCTGAGTGAGGCTGATGGTTGAAGGTTTGAAGGGTCTACGGTTACCAGGGACACGACCGATAGAACACCTGGCACGTTCAGAACACCAGCAGCCTAGTGACTTACACCACCCCATGCAATGGCAAGGCCCCCTTTCATCCTAAATCCTACTCCCAAGACCCTAACCCTAAACCCTAAACCCTAAAACCTTAACCCTAAATCGGCCTCAAGGCGTGAGGGGTTCCGGGTGCCAGACTACAGCCCACGGAGATGGGAGCTAAACTCAGCTGGTTCGTGTCCCACGCCAGTAGGAATATGTGTTGATCGGATCTACCTTAAGTCCAACGTAGTTCGCTTTTGGGGTTGGATAGAGAGGATGCCTAGTTGTAGGGGATTCTGGTATACGACTCCGAAAAGGCTACGTAGGAGCCTGTAGGGAAGGACCGCAGTCCCCAAAGAAATGTCCCGGACTGAAGGGAAAGCCCAGCAGCTTCACTAAAGGCGGCGCGCAGTCCTCGGGTTAAGGGTGGGCCCGGACTCGGGTTGGGAGTTTAGGGTTTAGGGTTTAAGGTTTCGTAGAGATCAGCTAGATAGGATTAGGGATATTTAGGGATGAGCTGATCAGGGTTGGCGTGCTACAGGGCTTGAGGTTGAGAGTCTGGGGCAGAGTGGAGGGGAAAATTGTTGTACCGAAATTAGGGGGCGTGGCCCATCGGGTCTTGGGGATTACACAAGTCGCCCCCTCTTGCGCCTGCCATCAAGCCCTCCCGGAAACCATAAACCCTAAACACGGGAACCCCGAAACCCTAAAATCCAAAATTCAAAACCCTAAGCCCCTAACACTACACCCCTATTCCCCGTGTAACTAGGTTGCCCAGTAACGTAGGCTGAAAAATGGTGCCCTTTTTTTGCTTAAAGGGGTTTATAAGGGAACCTGAACCTACCAAGAAGGGAATAAGGGTACTACCGGGCATCCTAGGTAAGCTCCAGAGGCGTCATTTTTGGGGTGGATTTGGCCCTTTGGACTTTCGAGGCCAGGGTGGTTTTTGGCGCCTGAAAACCCTGCCCAGCCTTTTTCACCCGAAAACCCTTTGAGGGTTTAGAGTTTAGGGTTTGGGGTTTGGGGTTTAGGGTTGAGGGTTCAAGGTGTAGGGTTTAGAGTTTAGGGCAAAGACACAAACCCCCCCAAAGTCCACCACGTCTCCTCGATGCTGGGCATCTGCGAGACGGCCTGCAGTGCGTGGACCTCGGGCTGCGTTGGGTTCAGGGGGTTAGGGTTTAGGGTTTAGGGTTTAGGGTCTAGGGTCTAGGGTCTAGGATCTAGGGGGTTTGTTGAAGGCTCTAAGACTAAAGGCTTGATGCTTCGGTTTTTTTTTAGGCTGGCCGGTTGCCCTCAACCCTAAACTCAAAACTTACCCTCACCCAAAACCCTAAACCTAAACCCTAAGCCCTAAACCCTAAACTCTAAGCCCTAAAAGGGACAATAAGAATCCTAAGGGCTATCTAGGTTGGGGCTTTTGTGGTGGAGGATGTTGGGTGCCAGGCATGGGGTTGGGTGTAGGTGGGAGATCAGCTGCTAGATGTGCGCAAGTGCGCTTGTAGTAGGGTTTAGGGTCTCTCTGGTGCTCTAGGGCTGAACCTTGTAAACAACTACTATCCTTCAAAGGGCAGGAGTAGAGGAAGCACTTCTCTGCCAAAGCTTTGTTTTGTGTTTACCTGGTGGCTTATATTCTCTCTCTGTACCTCCAGTTTGATTAGCAAAAATCTCTCCTGAACAGCTGCAGGCAGATAGAGTGATTCCTACCATGGGAATCAAGAAGACCACTGCGCCAACGCCCATCTTCTCAGGGAAGAGTCGCTCACTTCATGACTTGTTCGAGCCTGCACCTTCTGTCAAAACTCGTACACTGCCCTGTCACCGAAAGCCCTAACTAAACCTGAAGAGGATCAATTGGGCTCCTCATGACCCCGAAACCCTGCCCCTTCAAGCTACCACCCTAAACCGTAAATCCTAAACCCTAAACCCTAAACCCTAAACCCTAAACCCTAAACCCTAAAACCCTAAACCCTAAAACCCAGCCCGCATCCTGGGCACCCGGCCATCGCCGAGCGTGTATGCCGTGTGCCCCCGGCCGCCCAACCGCTGCCATAGCGGAGACGGAGGTGCGACAGCAACTTTGCCTCAAAAAGCGGTTCAGGGTTTAGGGATTTTAGGGTTTAGGGTTTAGGGTTTAGGGTTCAGGGTTCGGGTTTAGGGTTTAGAACCAAGGTGTAGGGTTTAGGGTCTAGAGATCCTAGAGCCCAAAAACCCTAGACCTTAAGCCTGAAGAACTGAACCCTAAAATCCGACACCCTAAAGCCTCTAACCCCTGAACCTACAACCCGAAACCTGTAGGGCTTAGGGGGTTTAGGGCTGCGAGGGAGGCTGCTAAGGAGCTTGGCTTCAGTCACAATTGCAGCGCTGCAAAGTAGACTATAGGCTGTATTTCCTTCGCATGCTTAGTTTGAGCTCCTTCGTAACAGCAGCCCAGTCAGCAATACATGGACCCAGCCCTAAACCTGAACCCCACAACCCTGCTCAACACATTGGACCTAGCCCTGAACCCTGAACCCCGAAACCCTAAACAACACACAGACCTAGTCCTGAATCCCTGAACCTTCAAAAACCCTAAACAGCACATCTACCTACATCGGAACCCTTGAACCTGCAAAAGCCTAAACACCACATCTATCTAGCCCTGAAACCTGAACCCCCAAAACCCTACACCGCACACATGCCTAGCCCTCATCCCGGGATCCCGAAAACCCTAAACAGCACATACACCCTAGCCCTAAACCCCTGCACCCCAAAAAGCCTCAACAACATAATATATACCTGAACCC